AAAAAAAAAAAAAAAAAAAAAAAAAAAAAAAAAAAAAAAAAAAAAAAAAAAAAAAAAAAAAAAAAAAATCTAACCTCAACCATTTTTAAGGAAAGTTGATGTAGAAGCGAAATTATTCCAAACATTAAGAGTTAAAATATCAAATTTAAAAATTTAGAGAGGATTGATATGTAGTTATTATAAGATCGATGTATATATTATTAAGAATATTTTTAATTACTAACGTACGGATCCATTTTGCTATGTTTTTGCCGCGAACTAAACCGCATTTTCGTACTTCGGAGACGTGCACTTCGGGTGTTCGCTCCAAGATAACAATGGAGCTTCGGATTCTGGTGGGGGCACGGAGAGGGAGCTTCTGAAGGAGGAGACCGAGGCGGAAGGAACTGCAACTGTAAGACTACTACTTGATCTGCCGTAAACATTAATTTTGTTCCAATATTTAGTAGTTTGGATGATTTTATCTCATACTCCAAAAGGGATTAGATGCAGAAGAAAATTCATGTTCGAGAAATAATCAGTTCAATTATGAACAAAACGAAGTCTCTAATTAAACTGGAAGCCCAACACCTTGCATTTCAACATCCGGTAGTCGTCTGAGATACCTTCCACAAGTTCATGCTCATATCATCGGTTACGGATTCCACAGGTTCGACTTTTCTTCACTAAGCTTATTTCTCCGGTTTGTGCCGCTGGTTCAGTTACCTATGCTCGGCGATTGTTCCCCACTGTGCCAAATCCTGACTCTTTCCTGTTCGACTACTGATACCGTCTTGTTTTACCATCATATGCTTTTCTCGGGTGTTCCTCAGTCGAATTAGACCTTTTAAGTTTGTGATCAAATCCTGTGCAGATCTTTCAGCTCTGAGGTTGGGTAGAGAAAATCTTTCTCGTGTAATGGTTCTGATATGTATGTCCAGACTGCACTAACTGCTCTGTATGCCAGAAGCTAGTGATATGGAAGTCGCCAAGAAGGTGTTTGATGCAATGCCACAAAGAACAATTATAGTTTGGAACTCACTTATATCCGGATACGAGCAAAATGGATTCCCATCTGACGTTGGTGTTGGGCTTCCAACCCGATCCAATGACAACAGTGAGCTTATTATCTTCCCATTCTCACTATGGGCTCGTGATTTCGGTTGCTGGTTGCATGATTATGCTAATCTCAACGTTGTTCTTGGTGCTTCATTGATTAACATGTACACTAGATGTGGGAATGTAAGCAAAGCGTGGGAAGTTTTTGACTCCATGAAGGAAATTAAGGAATGTTGTTACCTGGAAAGCCATGATTTCAGGGTACGGAATGCATGGCTATGGTGAGCAAGCAACGAAGTTTTTTTTTGGTGAAATGAGAGCTTATGGTCCTTGTCCTAACAATATTGCATTTGTTGCAGTCTTGTCTGCATGTGCTCATTCAGGGTTGATTGATGATGCTCATCGGGTATTTTCAAGCATGAAGGAAGTATATGTGTTAGTTCCAGGAGTAGAACATCATGTCTGCATGGTAGATATGTTTGGGTGTGCTGGATTTCTCGATGATGCTTATCAATTTATCAAAAAAATTCTTCCTGAAGAGCCAAGTCTGGCAGTTTGGACTTCAATGCTTGGGGCTTGCAGAAGGCATAAAAAGTTTGACCTTGGAGCTAAGGTTGCAAAACATGTTTCAGCACTTGATCCAGAAAAACCCGGCATTATGTATCGCTTTCTAACATATATGCATTGGCCGGTAGGATGGATCAAGTGGAGATGGTACGAAGTATTTTGGTGATAATTTCCAGTCATAATCTTCAGCTTGAGTATTCTTGCTGTTACTGAGAGTTCATAGGATTTATGAGCTAATCAAAAGGTCGCTGAGTTTTCTAATTAATGAACAATCCTGTTACTGCAGCTACTCAGTTGGTGTTTTTAATTAGCTAGGTAATCTGGTTATTAGCTTGATTGAATCACTACCAAGTGAACTTGTCTTTACAAATTCCAGCTTCTCGTGTTAGCTTGGAGAGCGGGTTTTGGAGGGAGGTTGGAAGCAACTGCCATTCGGTACAAATTATGATAAGTCAGCCGGTTATTAAGCCTTACGAGCGTTGTTTGGTTCTGTCAGGTTTACAACTTTGCCATTTCATAGTCAGATTCTTGAATTGGTGGAGGCGGATATCATTGACATTTATCATCTATGCACACTATCTTTTTTGTTGTTCTTGCAACTCAGTCCTCGCCGGTTTCGAGTTCAGCCATGGAAACCGACATGTTTTGACATACAGAAATTCTTTGAGGTGAACAATGAGGTGATACACTCTTATATGTTCCTTCAATTGGTTCTTTTAGTTTTCCGTAATTTACAATTTTCATCCTGGCTTTTGGCTTTGCCCCCCATAGTCTTTTTGTTCTCTAACTTTTCAAATTCATTAGATACTTGGTACTTTGAAACAAGCTCTTCATCCAAACAAAAAACTTTAAATTCATCTCTCCACTAAGTTAAGGCTTCAGGGACGTGCAGGTGGTGGCTTGACACCTGTTTGTGATGTTAATTTTGTGTTTAGTGGTTTTGGTGTCGATGGAGCTTCAAGAAGCAAACATTGGAATTTAAACTGCGTGTCATAATCCATAATCAAATATTGTCTTGCATTCCTTCTGTTCTTTCATTGTTTCTATGTCATAAATTACAAAGCTGCTGCATTTTTATGTTGTCTTTACGTGCCCATTCCACACGGCATTACCTTTTCCATCAAGTTACTGTTGCCCTAAAATGTCAACTTATCAATAAGTCGAGGTTCTGTTTTTAGATACAGACATCATTGAAATTCTTCTCTCCAATTTCTAACACCTGAATGTTCTTTTTTTTTCAGTTCAACGAGTGGGGGTGGGGACCTGAATGTTTGCTTTTACCAAGTTATGTGATGACCTTTCTTGGGTCGTACGTTGCGTTATTGTGGGAATTAACGAAGCTGACAGTGATAGTAGCGCATAAAGAAGGTATGAACAAGCCACTAGTTAACTTTCCATAAAAAATGAATTAGTTTTTAACTAGGAAGTCAGCGAATAAAACATCTTATATTAAGGATTTACTGATTTGTCATCGAATGCTCAGGTAAATTGTTATCAAGAATGTGCCATTTCTAGAAAGCCACATCTCAGTCCTTGGGGTAAGGGTTTAGGATACTTAGTCGTTGATAAAAAATGTTTTTTTTTTTTTTTTTAAAATAAATGAGCTGTATCTCGACCGACATTGGAGGTTATGAATCTCTCCGTGGAGTAGTGGGGTGGGACCCGATTCCTAGAATTTAAAACCAAAAAAGTTCCAATTCCGTGAAGTGTAAGCTGATTGAAGGTAGGCCAACCGATGTTGTTTAAATTGATTTGAGGGAGTGAAAGTGATTCTGTTACAGCGAATGAGGTTTAATTATTATAAAGTGAGAAAACTGAGTTTGGGGAGATTTAAGAGAGCAGTGTGGACTTTGGAGAGAATCCCCTCTAGAAAGTGGGAACCTTTAAAAAGAGAGTCCACTTAGGCGGACGGATACGTTGAAACGTTGGACACATGGAAAAGGTAAAGGTACTTTTGGGGTTTGTTAGACAAGTTCATGGTAGCTTCTTTCTGTTTCTGAGATTTAATTATTATCTTTGAATATTAGAGTTAAAACTATTTTTGATTAGTTGGAAACAATGAAACTATGAACTTCTGGTAAATGGAGAGGACGTGGTTTTGAAATTGAAAGGTTGGGTTAAACGATAATGGAAAGAGCAATACATTCCCATTATCTCCAATTCCAACAGGAAGAGGCAATTGAATCGAAAGTTCTCACTTTAAATATCAACTTAATGGACCAAGCAAACCACACAGTAGTTTGCCTCTTCAGTTGACTAATGCCTCCAAACTTATATACTAACTCTCCACTTTCTACCACTGCCCTTTTTGTTACTTACAACTTTATTTGTTAAGATGCCACCAATCCCACTATATATAGAGGTTTCGCTCTAAAGGTTTTGTTTAGTTTATTAGATTTATTAGGTTAAAATACATTTATAATCTCGAAGTGATATAATCCGTGTATTGTTAAATTTCCAATGATTTCATTGCCCCCACATCATGAACATATAAGTATATGTTGTTGATCAAGAGTTAGAGTTTCAAATTCTGAAAAAAAGAAAGACATGTTTTGATCTTTGTGTGGTTTCATATCCAGTTTAATCTTACTCCAGTGGGAAGAAATGAGAGTAATCTAGGCATGTATATGCTATTTGAACTCTGTCTCTAAAACTCCAAACCCCAAATTGGATGCCATTAGTTGTGGAGTTGACTATGAAAACAACTTGATAAAGCACTTTATTGGTGTTAAGTTGAATAATTTACATCCAAGAATAAATTTTTAATTATGATGATCTGGCCACTATAGTCCAACCGAACAAAAGTATTGAAATCTTAATAAAAAAAAATGAAATGGATTCTATTTGAAGGATAGTTGGAACTTGTCAATAGAATTAAAATTGTTTCCAGTAAACTTTATAAACTTGTTCTGTATTCAAAATCTTCCTTGGGAGTGTATAGGCTTGGAAGGCCTGGATTTTTCAAATTGTTTGAAGGAAAACAAAAAAGAAAAATAATAAAGAAGGAAAAGTGGGATTTAAATGGTGCCACTTTATTTTCCACTTAGAGAATTCTTTTTTATTCTTTATACTTCATATCGGACCTCACTACTTTGCATGATTTCCACTTTGATTTAAAATTGGTTTATGCTTCTAACACAGTTCTTCCTCTCAACAGTCCTTCCACTAGTTACTTTGCTTAATTACGCCAAAATAGTCGGCACCACAACAACAACTTCTTTCCCTTTTTTACTTTTGTTAAATGCTTGCCACTAGATTTCCTGTTATCTTTCTTCTCAATAATACAGCTTTTAGATTTAATGGTTATTTATTATGGTATTAAACCAGAGTTTTCGAGTTCAAATATTACAATATTATCACATTTCTAGTTGATATTAGTTTGTGTGTTGGATTTATTGAATCAAATTAGTATAGTTTGGGTCTCATTCATTATCGTGGATTGGCATTTGTCTATGTTCTGCTGTGCTATGCAATCAACCATTATCTCTTCTTTGCATGAAAATGGATTTGCAATCGGAGTTGAATAGTCCAAACCAATACGAGTAGGAAAATCAAAATCTGGATGGAAGACTTTCTTTGTTTTCTTTTATTAAGAGAGGGAGTTGGAAGTGATCTGTAACTTGACGATTGGTCTATGTTGTGCGCTTGTGCTGTCCCATAGATACCAACAACCCAATATTCTCCACAAACTTTGTTTGATATATAGCTTTGTAGCAGCTTTTGACAGAGGGAGAAAGTACAAACAAACCATGTTAGCAGCCAGAGTGTTGGGTATAAAAGGTTCTGAAGACACGAGATATAACCATAGCCGTGAAAACAACTGAAGATTTGGCAGACAAAAAGTATTTTGACAACTCCTCTTTTAAGTAACGGCGATTGTCTCATAGAAGGTTGGTTAGTACAAAAGTAAAACAGTAGGCAAGTTCAAGCTGCTCATAGATCGAAATGGGACAATTGTTTGGGGACTTGTTTTGTTTTGTAGAACAACTTTTCAAAATAACACACTTATATATTTGATTATTTTTCATGGATTCTCTGTGCTTCTCCATTAAGTTATTACACTTTTTAAGACAATTTTTTACCTCTCTTGTTTACAGATTGAAACGTGGCAGAGTTGTGGCTTTCTTTTTCCTGAGGATCACTACAATCTGGGAGCAGATGGGTTTTGAGCCACAACATTGAAAAGGTACGAACAAAGATCACATTGAAATCCACCCAAAAAGTAAAAAGGGAATGGTTAAGTTCGTAAAATAATAAAACAAGTGGGAGCCAATGCCAATGCGCTGTTACAATTGAACCCACCACCAAAATTCAAATTATGCCTAAACAATGCTAAATAAAAGTTGCCTTGTGTTGCTTTGTCCTCCGTTTATATTTGCTTCTTGTCTTTGCTTCTAAGCTTATCCAGTTTCCTTCTCTCTTTTTTTTTTTTCTTTTTTTCTTTTTAATCGTTCGAGATGTCTTATCTATGATAGTATGCATTTCAAAAGTGTGTTGCCTTCCAAATGGACTTTTGACATGACTGCAACCAATGTCTGGAGATATAGTAAATGAATCTATGATAGTATGCACTTCAAAACTGTGTTGCTTTCTAAATGGACTTTTGATATGACTGTAACCAATGTCTAGAGATATAGTCGATGATGGGTGTGGTACGAGATATTTTGTGTAAAGTTTAAAAGAAACTAATGTACATATAGTTCTTTTTACGTGATTTTAGGTTCATTATAAAAAAATATCATTTCAATAAGCAGATCATACTAATTTTTTGTCGCAATGATACAGTATCATCTATAAAGTAATCGACTTGACTTTTAAACCATTTCTTTGTCATATAAAAACGAATCGAATTAGTAGGCCAAACCGCCTGAATATTAGACTGTAGGCCAGTATTCTTTCCTTTCTTATTAGACTGTACGCCAATATTCTTTCCTTTCTTAATGGTGTTGAATTATTCTCTTCTATCCTTAATTTTCTTTTTATGTATGGTTTCTCTAACCAAATATTTTTATTCTTTATATTTTCTTCTCTCTCTCACACATCACATTCTTTGACAGTAACAACCACCCAACCTTCCCTGTCTGGTTAAATATGTAATAATCTACTCTTGGGCTTGTTTTTCTAATTTGAAAAATAAAACATGTCATATATTTAAAAGAGAGATGATATATTTGGGTGAAAACAAAATTAAAACTTTGTAGAAAACGACGAGGATAAAGATACTAATTTGATATTTATTATGGAATCGACTGTTCTAGCTCAAGTGCCTAAAATCCATTCAAAACTCCGAGTTCTCAAAGAGAAAAATATCTCCTCAATCATTTTTTGAAATTGAGTCGAGAGACACTTTTGATGGCATGAAATGCAGACTAAATTAGTTACATTTTGGGATGTACAAATGCATATGAATTTTTAATTTAGAATATGAAAATCACAACATGATTTGTTGGCGGCAAAAAGGATATAATTAGAAAGCGAGAGGAAGGTGAGTAGTGGGGGAGAATAAACTAAACAAATGGAGAGAGGAAAGTTGAGGAATAGTATAACCATTTCATATTCAACTCCCCTCCCACTATTTATTTGTCATCCAAATTAATATTATATGATTTTTTAAAAATAAAAATACTAAGACTTAACATTTTTATTTTAAAAAAATTTAAAATTAAAAAACAAAATTATTCTAAAATGTTATTTAAATAATTCTCAAATTAAGCTTATATAGTACATATTAGGGTGATTATAGATTTGAAAATTTCCATTTTCATAAATTAAAAGGAAAAAAAAGATATAAAAGGATGACGTTAATTAAATTAAACATACCGAATTTTAAATAATCCAAATGAACGAAGAAACTTGTTTGGAGGTCATTCTACTTTATTCCTGAAATCTTTTTGGCATATTCTGTTCGGTATTTCTTCATGGAGGGTCTCGATATGAACTAATTTGGCCGTGGATCCTCTGAGCGCCACCTGCAGCTGAGCGACAAGAGGGAAAGAGGGAGAAACTCTGCAATGGCTTAAAGGCTCGAAAGTATTGCCAACACCGGGGTTTGGATTACTGCAACTTCGCCTTTCTGAACTCTTCGCTTCTGTTCTCTTTTCCATTGTGTTCCTCATTTGCTTCGTTTGGGAGAAGGTGTTTTTTCTGGCTGTGACTGTGAATTATGTTCTCCGTTGAGTTTCTTCGATTTGCTGGAGTTCTCCTTTCGCTCTATTCTGGGAGTTCCTTTGGCCATACATGAAATTTCTGAGGTAGAAAGTTCCACACCCACACCGTACCTTGCTTATGATTTTCGTTTCCTTTCTTTCTTCCTCTCTTTTCTTTTTGCATGATATCTGTCATCTTCGGAGTTGAAGCATGGAGTTGAAGCATTTAGCCTAGTTTTTCTGTTTTTTTGAACTTATCATCTTCGGGTTTTCAAGGAAGAGTGTCTTGAGCTGTTCTAATTGGGATATCAGTCCTCGTTTATGTTGAATAATAACACCTTTCTCATTTTGAGCTTATTGTTTGCGTTTTTCTTGGCTTCCCGTTTGGAATTTATTCGATGAACTGTGCAGTCACAAGATTAACCCCTTCACTCTTGTTTGTTTCCTGAAGTGTCCCGGTATAACTTTCTGGGAAGCGCACTGAAATCGTTAGTATGATGATAATATTTTTTTGACCGTGTATTTTGAACTTTTCTTCTTGTGTAATTGAACGATGGATTCTGTTTTTCTTCTCTAGAAAGTGTTACTTACAAGATCCATTTCTTATGCTCGTCCATTTTATATGTCGTTAAAGGAAGTAGTGGTTAATAAATGATAAAAGTGATAAGTGCACTTCGTTCGGTGTATATAGATATATACTTTCTTCACCATCTGGTCAAGGAATAATTTGAAGTGCTGCTGCTTGAACAACCAAAAGTGGTGGCTTCTAATCAATATGCTTTTCTCTCCTTGTCAGTTTTTTAATGGAAATTATTAACTGTAATCGTGGTTGCAGGTGAAAGGAAGGCAATAGAATTGTTGGGCCGTTGAAGCCATGAATAATTGATGACATAGCTCTCTTGAAGTAATCAAGTAACATGTGGCTTCTCCATTCTAGATCAAGCTGCTGGATATATGTGGTGGATTGGTTATTTCCGTTGGGTACTGCTGATGAACATTAATTAACATCCTTTAGAGGAAAAAGTCTGTTGAGAGCCGATAGACATGGCGACCAAAGCTTCATGTTCGGTCAAATTTCCTTTGGCATTAGAAATTGGGCATTGAGAGTAGTTTAATATTTCTGTTAGTTTTTCAGCATTTATAATTATTCTGAAGATTTTTCCGGCTTGGGCAAATCTCCTTTGGCAAATAGTTTCTTATGGTTGATGCAGTCAATTTGAAAATCTAAAAAAATCCCCTTTGTCATCATCCATCTTGGTTCCAGAACGACACCAAGAAATCTTTATTTGGCAGTATCGCTGCTTCTCGACTTCAGCAGTTCTGGGAAATATTATCCAGAAGTTTCTTTGGCTGAAACTTCAGTCCATTATTGGGCAAATCTCCTTTGGCATTTGGGTCCTAGTTGACTCATATTATCCCTTTGCAAAACCTCTTTGCAATTTGCTCTGTTTCTGTCCGACAAGGTATCCTACAGTTCATTTTGATTCATTCAGGTACAATATTTATATATTTTTTGGAAATTTCTCATTTGGAAGATAGATATAGACAAGTGTTGCAATCATCAATTTCTATTTTTTCAGATTTATCTTCAAACTTCAGTTGGTTGTGCAACACAAATCAATTAACTTTTGGATCCTACCCAGGAGTTGGAAGTTCTACTAAAAGAAGTGCAATTTGAATGGTACCTTCCATATTCGACTTACTGGTGTTCCTTCGATGAATTTTTTTGTTGATGATGTTCTTTAAGAGCGATTCAATGCTTCTGCTAAAAAAGTTATGATTCATAGCTGACAAAATTATTCTAATGCAGGAAAACATGAAAGATCATTATCACATACTTGTGAATGATATATTGTCTATATTTAATTTTCAGGAATTGATGTTTGCGTGAAGTTATAAATTACCCAGGGAAGTTCTGGTGCTAAAAGTTTAAGCAAAAATACATTAGAGCATTTCGAACTCTGTTTGAGGCTTGAATTTTTACTTGGAGGATACTTTGAGGTCTTTTTCTTATAATTTTTTGTTCATCTTTATTTTGATTGGTAGTTATGCTAATAACATAGGTATTGTGATGTTATCTTGTATAGACATTCTATTGATGGACCTGATTCTAAGTGACTCGGATTGGGAGAATTCAAGTGATTGTGATAGCAGTGATGACCTAGAGGAAGCTGAATATTATCATGGCCAGACTAGTTGCATTTTATCAAGCTTAGAGGAGACAATTGGAAAGATTGATGAATTCCTTTCCTTTGAGAGGGAATTCATGCTTGGAGATGTAGTGTGTTCTGTGAATGATCCATTTGGACAGATGGGAAAGGTGGTTGGTATAGACATGCTTGTTGATTTGGAGACAAATCATGGACCCATAATCAAAGATGTTAATTCTAAAGATCTTCGAAAAATCCGTCCCATTTCTGTTGGAGATGTTGTTGTTCATGGGAAATGGATTGGAAGAGTAGAAAAGGTTATTGATTCTGTGAGTGTTCTTTTTGATGATGGGACCAAGTGCGAAATAATTGCTGTGGACCAAGAGAAGCTCTTGCCCATATCTGTTGATGCACTTGATGATTCACAGTACCCTTATTACCCTGGACAAAGAGTAAGGTTCTCAAATGCTTCCAAACCACCTAGATGGTTATCTGGTTGGAAAGATAACCGATGTGAAGGAACAGTCTGTTCCGTGGATGCAGGACTAGTATATGTTGATTGGCTCGCCTCAATTCTGATGGGTTGTTCTTCAAGTTTAACTGCTCCACCACGTATGCAACATGCAAAGGAATTGACTGTGTTGTCGTGCTTTCCACATGCAAATTGGCATCTTGGTGATTGGTGTATTTTCCCTGTGGATGAAAAAAGTGATTATCTTGGTGAAAAGTTCATTACCGCTCATGACCTATTGACTGGAGGATATTGTGATGCAGGCTTTCAGGAAATCTCTGTCATTGTGAAGAAAAAGGCTAAAGTCGATGTTCTATGGCAGGATGGTAGCCACTCCAGAGGATTAGATTCCCATTGTTTAACTCCAGCAAATGCTATGAATGCTCATGAATTTTGGCCTCAACAGTTCGTTATGGAGAAGGGCAATTGTGATGATTCAAGCATGTCTGAAACCCAAAGATGGGGTGTTGTGCAGGCTGTTGATGCAAAGGAACGGACTGTTAAGGTTCAATTGAGAACCGGTGACTTGACTGAAGGTAGTGATCTGGATGGACTGTGGGTGGAGGAAACAATGAGTGCTTATGAACTGGTTGAGCACCCAGATTATTCCTTCGCTCTTGGAGATATTGTGTTTAGGTTGGCATCGTTTGGCAGTCAATCTGATGAAAATAATATAACTTCTGAAATTTCCATGAATGAGGAGTCTGCTCAGAATGGGAAGAGT